GGCACATTTATAGTGTCAATCAATCGAAGACATATGTGTTCATGTCATAGTGCTCAGCCTTGCTTACATGTTTTATTTATCCTTACTAATTATTTTAAGCTGGATAACACCAACCCTTTAGTGTGGCAGGATGGAATTTGTGAAGCCGAAATTATGGAATTGCTATCATCTCGAAGAATAAAAGACGATTTCTCGTGTTGTCTGTGTAGAGAACGCCTTTTACGTAAGAGTGGATGTACATTTTGTAATGAACAGTTCCATTGGTACTGTGCTGAACTACGATCAAGAGCTCTACATGAGGAACATGTTACATGTTGCCGATGTCATAAAAAATTGGATAAGTGCACTGTTTCACGAACCTTATGCAGTGCTTGCCATTCTGATTGTGACGCTTGCAGTTATTTATGTGGCTTCTGTCCCAGCTACAGGCTGTGTAGAAGATGTTATACATCAGGAAAAGTTCATATGCATCACCCGTTTTCAAAGGATAGCCTAATATCGAAAAATAGCGGTCCCAAGGTCACCGAACAGGATGTTAACTCACTTTTACACAGAGAAATTAATCCCGAAGATTATGAAATTCTTTTATCATTAGATAATAATGCATTCACTACACTTAGTCTTAGTGAATTTGAAAAGTTACCCAAGATTCTATGGCATGATGACATGGGCTGCGTAACCTGCAACATTTGTTTGGAACAATTTAAAACAAACGAAGTTCTTGTGCAGCTCCCGTGTGGTCATTTTTTTCATATGTTATGCTCCAGAAAATGGGTAACTGAACATAAGGCTGAATGCCCGGTAGACCATCGCAGTATTTTTCCTATTGGAACAAATTCTACAAAATCTGCTGAATCTTCTTGTGTATTGAAGAAGTAAACCATTGTTTAGATACCCTTTCAACATCCCTTAAAAAGGCAAATATAGTGAATCAAACTTATGTAAAGTAGCTTATCGTTGCAGACTTCTTAGAGGTAATCAAAAAATGTTACAAACACAAGGTGTGACCCTAAATAACTCAGGCTATATTTCATTCCTTCAATCAACACAAGTATATACACATACACGCTCTCTCTTTCTCTCCCTTTCTGAATATTGTTTAGTACTATTGATTTTATTTTATCATGCGTCGTGTTACAAGTTTCACCATAGGACTCAAGGGTGCCTGTTTTATAAGTGGGGTTGCCCCCGTTCTTTACTTCCCACCTAGTGCTGCTACAATAATAAACAAAGAGGAGCAGATCAAAAAGAACACCAATATTGCCTTGGAAATGATTCGCAGCCAAAAGGGACCATTACCACCTCCGTACGCTCGCAAGACGACTGCAACCATAGAAGCGATTGAAGGTGAGATTAATGCAATCCTGGGCGATTCTGAAAAAATGCGCAGAAGCGCGACTAATGACCAACCTATGGATAAACTTTCACTGATGGAACGTTGTCTGCGCCATGCCCTTTGGTCCTATTACAAGGAGGAGGCTAAATACAACTTCAAGGAAATGTCTAAATGGCTTGTTTATACTCATGAAGATGAAACACAAATGGCTCAGCTGAAACGCCAAGTCGAAGAGAAGGAAAAACTTATAGCTTTTCGGGAAAAGAATGGGTCAAAAAATCTCCCAGATTCATCTTTGTTTCGACTAGACTGGAACAAGGAGTATGAGTCTATGATTGATCGCGAGTTGATCAACGAGAAACGTCTTCGGTACGATACGCTCGCTCTGAATACCACTGAACGTGATGAAGCACAGATTAGTAAGCTTCTCCAGCGCTACCGCAAACCTGCTCAAGACAAGCGGCTGGACGATCTTGTGGAGCTTCTTGAACGTTTCAAGTCAGTGTTCGCACGTGAGGCTATCATGCAGCGGCTTACAATTAAGCATTTAGAGGGACAATTGGGCGTTTGGCGGTACATGGACTGGTGTCCGGAGGTGCGCGATCGCGCTGAGTTGGAACTTGATATTACCGGTTGGCAGTGGTGGTCTCCCTTTGAAGAGCGCCGAGTTATGCCCATCCGGCTCCGATCACTGAACGAGGTGCGTAAAATAATGGGTAAAAAACAAACCCAGAAAGCGGCTGAGCTCGCTGAGCTCAGTCCTAAAGGATCTAAATCAAGCGATGGCGACCGTGAGCGACTGCTCAAAGAAATTTTATCCATTCAGGCAAGCATTTATAGGCGTGATGAAGAACCTGTTGGAGAAAAAAAGTCTGCCCACTAGTGGTAATCCTGCCAAAGTAGCATTAATAGATGTTATTAGATACGATTATTAGTTGTTGTGAAATGTTTAGGAAATATATATTTATCGATAGTATATTTATTGTCATCATTTTTGATAATGTGGAAAGGTTACGTAAACCATGTTAAGTTTACCAATCGAACTCCCATCAAAGAAGATTGGGATGACGAGTGAAAAATATCATATCTTTTGGGTACTATAACATACATTTTTATTATTCTACAATCTTTCCATATTCTATGAATCAAAAGCCACAAACACACACATAAAAAAAAATTGCTTACTCTTACTATATAATCACCTATTCAACAAGATGGACGCAAATGAACTAAAAACCAAAGGTAATAAAGAATTTTCCTCGGGTAATTACATTGAGGCTATTAATCATTTCTCCAAGGCAATTCAACTAGACAGCAGCAATCACGTCTTATTTAGCAATCGCTCTGCTTGTTATGCAGCACTTCACCGCTACAAGGAGGCTTTGGACGATGCCGACGCTTGTATTTCCAATAAACCAGGTTGGGTGAAGGGTTATGTGCGCCGTGGTGCGGCCCTTCATGGGTTGCGACGCTACAACGATGCAAGCGCCGCGTATCAAAAGGGTTTGGACGTGGAGCCGAGCAACCCCGCTTGCATTCAAGGCCTTCAAGACGTCACGAATGCCAGTGCTCGTGAAATGCATGATCCTTTCGCTAAAGCGTTTACCCCTGAGGCTTTCCGAAAAATTCAGGAGCACAAGAAGCTTTCTCTACTACTACTTCAGCCGGATTATCTGAAAATGATTGACGCTGTTGTCCGCGATCCTTCGCAATCTAAGCTCTATCTCGAAGATCAGCGCTTCATGATGACATTTTTATATTTAAGTGGAATGAAGCTTCCTGATACAGATGGAGATTCCGAGGAAACTCACACTACCCAACAACGAACAAAGTCATCCCCCAAGGAAGAAAAACCCAAAGAAACTACTAATGAACTAACTGAGGATAAAAAAGAAGCTCTTCAGCTCAAGGAAGAGGGTAACAAGCTTTATCTTTCCAAGAAATTTGATGAAGCTCTTGAAAAGTATGTTTCTGCAGCAGCCAAGGATCCTACGAATACACTATATATTTTAAATGCCACCGCTGTTTACTTTGAAAAGGGTGAGTATGACAAATGTATCGAAGAGTGCGAAAAGGGACTCGAACATGGCCGAGAGAACCGCAGCGATTACACCATTATCTCCAAGCTTCTCACTCGTCAGGCGTTTTGCTATCAAAAGCAAAATAAATACGATGAGGCCATCAGTATGTATAAAAAGGCCTTGGTGGAGTGGCGAAACCCCGATACACTTGCCAAGTTAAATGCATGTGAAAAGGAACGTGATAAGGCTATCGCCGATGCATACATTGATCCTGAAATTGCTAAACAGAAAAAGGATGAGGGCAACGAGTTTTTCAAGAAAGATAAGTTTCCCGAAGCCGTTTCCGCGTACACAGAAGCTATTAAGCGAAACCCAACAGAACACACTGCGTACAGTAATCGAGCTACAGCTTATATCAAACTAGGCGCATTCAATGATGCCCTGAAGGATGCTGATAAATGCATTGAGCTGAAACCTGACTTTATAAAGGGATATTCACGTAAAGGGAATGCCTACTTCTGGACTAAGCAATACAACCGCGCTCTTCAGGCCTACGACGAAGGCCTGAAGGTGGATCCCAACAACACCGAATGCCGGGAAGGTCGAATGCGCACCATGATGAAAATTCAGGAAATGGCGACGGGCCAATCATCGGATGGTGATGAAGCGGCAAGGCGCGCAATGAATGATCCTGAGATCGCAGGTATCATGCAGGACACTTACATGCAGGTGATTCTTCAAGAGATGCAAAATGATCCTTCGCGTATCCAGGACTACATGCGGGACCCATCTATCTCGACAAAGATTAACAAGTTGATATCTGCTGGTATTATTCGTTTTGGTCAGTAAGTTGATAAATGAACGACGGGGCATCATTTACTCGGAATAAATATCATTGAAAGCTGTTTTTATATTGATATTACATTCTCAGTTTTCATGCTTATTGAGACCTTTTGAGATGGTATACGAATTTATTACACTTTATTTCTAATGAAGATTTAAGAGAATTGTTAAGAGTCCATCTTTCTCTCTCATTTGACTTCAGCTTTTTCGCTCTCTACTTGAAATAAATGAATCTATTATTATTCAGCAACAATTCATATTCAAATACTTGACCTGAATATGTCGTTAACTTTAATGATATTATTATTTCACTTTTAAAAGGAAATCTACAGATTAAACTTTTCCTTCTATTATTTCATTTTGAATAAATACATTAACAGTATAATACTTTCCTTTATCAATAAGTGGATGCCAGCTATATAGGCTAAGATTAACATGTTGAATGTGAATTTCATCATTTTTCCATTACCTCTTTACATTTAATGTATTGTACTTTACAAAATGCTGAGCTATTAGGAAGTTAAGTCTCATAAATCTGCAATACCCCCACAAAAGGAATACAGAGGTTGCAGTTATTATGGAAACTTCAGTATCAAATGTCCCGAAGGAGTATCTTCGAATGCGGGACTCAACACTACTGCCGCCGCGCGTAGGCCACAATTGGAATGATCAGGCTTTTCGAAAAAAACAGGATAAGCCTCAGCAACTTGAATCTGAGTTCCGTGGTAAACGGGCCATGGTTACAACCAACGGAAATTTTTCAGGTATTACTCTGCCTGAAAACCTTCATCCGACCGCACACCAGCTTATTGCTTCTCTTTTGACAAAGAATCGAGGCTCCTTAAAGGACTCAGATTCCAGCACAAAACTTGGAAAAAGGTATCTCACATTGGATGACAAAGTGATGCGTTTCTACGCATTCTTCCGGGAACAGGCACCTGAAGGAGGCGTTAATGACTTTTGGCATCGAAAAGTTGTAATTGACTTTTTTCTTGAGGATGATAGTATTCTTATCCAAGAGCCAAAAATTCCAAACAGCGGTCTCGACGGCGGTACGTTCTTGAAGCGACAGAAGGTGAAGGCTGACTACCGACAATTGGAACAGTTTCCTGATAGTGCGTACATAAATCTTCAATATTTTAACGTAGGACAGCCTGTTCGAATCAATACAATCGATTTTTTCCTTTATGATTGTGATGCCTTTACCCGTGATTTTCTCACAGAGCTAGGTGTTAAAGTTGGTGAGCCAGTGGATTGCCCAGAGAATAAATTCACCGAAGCGTATAGTCGTCGTCAGCAGCAAGTGCGAGCTGCAGTAAACGGGACGAAACTGTACAATGTGACCTCATCCCATCGAAAAACTCAGGCAGCGGAGGCGGAACGCACTACAAGGTTCTTGCGCGACAGCGCGAAAATCCTTTGCTTTCATGCACTATTGGAGGACGACCAGTCGGGGGAGAAGCTCGGGGTTAGTAAGATGCGGAAATTGGACGTGTTGTATTACGTTGAAGATGACACTATCGCCATTACGGAGCAGCAAACCACCCCTGAGGCGGTATCGAGCCTATACTTATCTCGTGGCTTCCTCCCTAAATCGGGCTCACTGAAGAAAGCCAACGAGCTCACCTTTGCGCATCGCCTCAATGGGGTACGGATGCCCTATATCGGCCCGGATGCTTATTACACCCATAAAGACTTGGGCATCGGCATCACGCTCAACGTCCTGGGTCGTCCCGTGTTCTTGTACGACTGCGATAGGTACACCCGCACCTTCTACAGCCATCAGTTCGGTGTGGAGCTCCCACCCGCCGTGGACATCACAGGGCGGCTGGGTTCGCACGTCGCGTCTTGGCAAAAGGCCGGACGGAAGTCGGGCTGCGGCGCGCACACCGCGACGAAGCGCATGGCCATTCCTTCCGGGGTCTCTCATGGGGCGACGGCTAACTCGGTGACTAAAGACGTCCTGCGTTTTGTTCTGTTACTAGAAAACCCCAAGACTCATGAGGAACAGCTCCGTCGTTTTAAACTCACTTACTACACGGAGACCAATGAAGTGGTCGTGCATGAAACACGTACCAGGAACTCAGGGTTTACTGGCGGGTGCTTCCTTAAGCGTCAACAGCTGCGCAAGCCCAGCCCCCCGCGTGGTCCTCGAAATGACCCAATCGAAAAGGAACGACGTTTTAAGGAGGCACGAGGGATATCGACAGATACTTTCTATGATGAAACTGATCTTCGTATAGGAAACAAAATTACCGTGAACGGCCTTCTTATGAAAATCACTGCGATGGATCTACACACAGAAGCATACTTCATGGGCACTGCACCGCCACCACATCCCCCTGAATGCGTGAACCACCTTCTGGAAGAATTTCGAGATTTCTTATATTCGCGCTACGGAACCGCGTGTAAGGCGTTTTTGTCTTTTGACTACCATCGAGACGCCGTCATCACGCTCAATGAGTTCATCGAGTCGCTCAAGACCTTTCAAATTACTGATGATGCGTCTCTGGCAAAGGAAGCATATTTATTCTTGAAGAGTCTCGGAGAAAGTTCTGATGTATCGCAGCCCCTCAGAACGCAGGATGTTATAAAATGGTTAGGTGAAAATGTTGCATATGCAGGGAATAAACGACGGAGTCTTCCAAATGAAGAATTCCTTGAAAGTGCAGGTCAAGCCATTCAGGATGAGGAAGCAAAGAGGCTATACCAACTAAGTCAACAAGATTCCTTGATCGAGTTACGGGGTCGTCTGGAGAGCCGGTGCCTTCATAGTGTTGATATGTTCCGCCTTGCTTCCACGATGCCACGTGCATATCGTGAACACCATGCCGACATTCTCACATTAACTAATCCAAATCGTGATGCTATCATCACACCTGTACAATTACGCCGTTGTATAGAACAGATTTTGGGATGGACCACTATTACACAGAACGAAATGACGCATATTATAAGCTTCTTCTTTCCTAAGATGCCGGTAGAACTTCATTTTCGTCAGCGTGATGACTTTCTGGATTACAGCATCGATCTTCCCACTTTCCAGAAGTACTTTCATGATATGTGTCAATTAGGATTGCTTGGTAGTAATGATGTTAAAACAGAAGAAAACTTTTAATTTGATACCTTCTAGATAAAGAGAAAAAATAGGTACAAAATTCCAGAAGCGTGAAATAGATTATATGGACTGCTTCTAGGAACCAACCCTTTGGAAGGGGATATGTAAATCATGATCAACATTTTTAATATCTTTTACCCCTTTACACGATTTGTGTAAAATGCTACTCAATCGTTAGGAACCCAAGTGTAGAAGGGGATAACATGTATACTACTTACTCTTTGCGTTGTTGATTTTGTCTCTTTCCATCACCACCTGCATAAATAATGCTCAGTATATCCGAGGTGGCTGATCAAGGCATTTTCATCAGGGGCAGACGTTTCTCTAAGAATAAAAATAAAAATAGTTCTAAGAGTTCTTTTTCTTTAATTTTCCTTTCCCAAGTGTGTGTGAGTGGCTGAATATTAGTCTATCATAGCCTAAAGGAAACCAATATATTTCAAAATAAAACATAGATAGGAAAGCATATTATCTCCATATAGCGATCAATGTCAACTTCAGTGCGGGATCAACTTGAGCGCATTGAGGAAGCTTACTTCTACGAGCCTGGTAGGCTGTCCGAGGTGAATGCGATATCGGGTACCGTCTCGCCGCGACGGGTAGGCATCACGCGTCCCATATGTTTAGTATCAGGAAACGGCAATCGGCCACTGGCTGAGGCTGTGGCTCTTTTGCTTGGCAAAAATACACACAACACGTCTGTCACTCAGTACGCAAATGGTGAGGTCAATATTCGAATTAATGAGAATGTCCTTGGCGCTGATGTACACATCATTCAAAGCACTGCGGGCAACAATCTTATAAATATCAATACATCCATCATGGAGCTTATGTTTTTGATTCGCAAAATGCGTCTGAGCAACGCAAAGTCGATCACTGCCATCGTACCTTTCTTCGGATACACAAGGCGGGGCCACAAGAAAGATTCACAGGGCCTGATCTCGGCGTCTATGGTTGCACGCATGATTGTTCAAATGGGGGTTGACCGGATAGCAACCTTAGACTTACATTCTGGGCAAATTCAAGGCTTCTTCGACAATGTTCCTCTAGACAACTTGTCTATGACACATGAGTTCGCGCGTTATTTGCGGAAACAGCCGTGGTTTGATTTGAACCGGGTTGCGTTAGTGTCTCCTGACGCCGGCGGCGTAGATCGAATGAGCAAGCTGGCGGATATTCTTCATGTCAAAAACCTCGTGACCATTGTTAAGCGAAATATTACCATCGGAGGCGAGGAGGGTTTACAAGCTGTTGGCGAGGTCAATGGTTTGCACTGCGTTATCATTGATGACATGATCGACACTGGTGAAACGGTTGTGATGGCTTGCAATCTGCTCAAATCGTTGGGCGCGGCACGGGTGATGGCTTGTTGTACCCACGGTGTCATCACGGATCCATGCCAGCAGCGCATCAATGATTGTACGTCACTCTCCGAATTAGTGGTTTCCGATTCTATCCCTCAGGAAGAGAAAAAAAAATGCATTCCGAAATTAAAAGTCCTGACGATCGCACCACTTATTGCGATTGTCATCGACAAGTACACACGAGAAGAGAGTCTAAGTAGCATGTTTGATTCACCTTTGGTAATGTAAGGAATTATCAGAATAACTAATTTTTTCTTACTGTTGCAACATTATACTATGAAAATAATCGAAAACAGTTTAGTTTCAATTTGTATAATTATTTCTTCAGTACTGCACAAAAAAAAAAGGAGGAGGTACTAGCTTTTTGCCATATTTTTCAGGTGGATTTGATATTCCTTTTTATGTTTGGTGTGGCTTAAGTTGCGGAGCAGGTTGTGTGGGGGTTGTTAGATTTAAAAAAAAAAGTGCTTTAATAAACTGTAATGGCGTATATTCGAAGCGTTTACTCGATCTTCCCCCTTCTTTCAGTGTGTAACATGCCGAAATTTCAGATTTATGAAAACCTCCGGAGTGAACCTGTTGATGCAACTAATTATGCTTACCACATACCTATTGTGTATTTTTGGTTTTGATACTAAACAGTTAAATTTGATCGTGTCTCTCCTGAAACTGATATAGATTATTCATTTACCTAACCCTTTCATTCAATACATGCTAAAGGGATGCCATACGATTATCATTGTATTTGCCTCATTCTGATATCTTCTTTGTATGTATACTCTACTTTTTAGTATTTACTTATATATAAGTGTGGTTTTGACGATTGGCAACAAGTAAGAAGAAAAACTGTGGAATGAGTTGCTTCTTCCTTAAACAACTTGATTCTAAAAGTGAGGATGATAAAATTTTACTTGATCTTTTTCAGAATTGCCGTGAGCGAGTTGTGAACGTTGCGTCAATTCATTATCTGCCGAATCACATTGTTGTCACCACTAAGAACGGGTTTATAGAATTTGTTGATGTCTCCAAGGGTGAGTTTCGCCTTTTTCTGACTCATTTAGAGCATCACATCCCATTAGATGCCTCAGTCCGCTGTATATCGCTGGTGCCCAGACATTTTTTTATTCACCCCAATCCAAACGTAAGGGATTTAGATAGATCTGAAACCCAACTACTGTACTCCCTCGCGTTCTCAAACGAACTACTTCTGGCGAACCTTGAAACTGGCATGGTGAATGTATTGGATCGATTTGATACTCGTCCAAGTGCACTTTTTTGCGATGAGTCATATGTGGTATGTGGCGAAGGCGGTGGTCAAGTGTCGGTATGGGGTCTCAATCATGCGATGCAGGCCCTGAACAGCGTTGTCGCACACCCAAACTTGCTTTGGAAAAAAAAACTCGTGGAGGATACCCTAGTGTGTGTGAGGGTACATCAAAAACAACTTATTTGCTACTCGGCAGATCATCATGTCTGTATTCTCTTGGTAGACACCGGGGAATGCCTGAAGACGTGGATATGTGAGCTCGATCCCGTTGTCGACATCCTGTTCGTCAAAGACACGTTGACCCAACTCTTAGCCACAGTAATTTGTTTGCACACATGCATCTCGATTTACACCGAAACCGAGTCGGTTTCCTCAAACCACACAACACAGGAACGGGCCATCCAACAATCTCAGGGTAAATGGAGGCTTAACAGACGCTTTACACTAGATAACGCCATTCAGTGTGCCACGTGTTTTGGGAACTATTTGGTCGCTGGAACCGCCTCAGGTGTGGTTCTGCTGTATTACCTTGCTAACTTAGAAGACGGTCTGAGGGAACTTGCTCGCTTTGACGTGGGTTACGGGGTTGTGAGGGTTCAACTTTATGCGAACGAGACGTTGGTGGTGGTGTCCAGCAAAGGAGACATCTGGAAGTGGCCGTTAGCCGACCTTATTAATGAATGCGATAAGAGCAACTCGCCCAGAGCGAGTGAAATACCCTCACTACAGGGCGAAGATCCATTCAAGCCTGCCGATGCGCCTGCTGTGCTTAATTCAACGCTAGCAGATGAGAGTCAGGATACATTCAGAAACCGTGCTGAGACTCTGCCTGGCGAAGGGTGCCGAGAAGGTAGTGTATGCTTAGAGGATGATTACCAATTTGAAGATTCATACGGTGAAGAGATACACGAAGAGGAGGAACAACAGCGGCAACCTAGTTTACCTTCCACATCTATAGCCAACTCGCGACGGTCAAAACAGTCCGAGGTGTTTAAGGCACACGACGAGATCAGTGAAGTGTATCAAAAGTCGGTTTCACAGACAACGCGGTCGCCATCTGTTCAGAATTTGAATTCCACTTCTACTGTGAATAGTACAAAAATGCAATCTAGAGCGATTAGCCTCCCCCTCGAGCGCGCTGCCGATAATAAAGAGCCGCTAACGTTAGTTGAGGAAAGGCTTCAAGATCGTACGCATGACATGAAGTTCGCGTCTACTTCACCACAGAGCATCGCCAGTGGACCAGAGGACAGTATGACTAACAAAAAGTATGCAGTACATCAAGACGGCCCCGCAACTGTTATCGCGTGCTCATCATCACGTGGTACTTCCGACTGCCATGAAAGCGACGAAAGAGATGGTAATGCTGCTTCGGTTGCGGTGACAACTGAGCCAGAAGTGGTTGCGGTAGAGGAGGGGAACTTGCTTGATACTTCTGTTGATACCATTTATTCTTCTCTGAGTCCTCGATCCACTCGACCACCTATGCCTATCCCAGTGGAAAGAAATCCCTATGAAGAATACGCCGTAACTGCCAATGAGTCTCAGATGCCGGAGAATCAAATAACGATAAGCTCAAAGGGCTCCACACCACAAAAGCAGGTTTTTAGTCACATTGATGGTTATCATGATACTTTTTCTCGAAACAATGCAATGGTGCGCGTAAATCACAACGCATTAGTGCACAACTATTCTCAGTATTCTCCCGAACGTGAGTTAAATAATCTCCAAACAATACTGGGTCCACTTGAAGCCATTTCGGGATTGCGCAAAGGTCGTCTTATGGACCCTCGGCAGATTCATCAAATATTGGAAACCGAAAGTGTAAATAGGGAATCTGAAAATGAATCCGATGACGAAATCACTCATAGGAATCTACAGAGTACTACTATGGTTCTTGAGTTCAAGGATACTCCTCAAAAAAAAGCGTTTAACTTTGAAAGTTATTTGAAGGAGCACCCGTTGGAAGCCGAGGCTTTGCTTTACCATTACCCTGTGAAGCTTCCTACTTATTCTTTAGCCGATCGCGTCTTTGATGATGCCATGCCTCCCATCATCGACAGTCGTAATGGCTACTCGTTGAAGATCAAAAACAATGGTTCCACAGAGGACACAGCTACAGTGAGGGTGGGGAATGCTGGATGGCCCTCGTTGAAACCTACAGCAGGGGCCGATGAGTATACAGATGACTTGATGGACGCTACACACTATCGCTTTACTCGTAAAATGGATCCTGATCTCATCGAGGAGCGACGCCGTGGTGGCCCTGACATCAACGCCCATCCTTGTGATGACATCCTTTATCCTACAAGCGATCCTTCCTTGACGGTGTTATTTAAAGAGCATCCAATGCAACCATCCGAACCATTTGCATTGCTATTGCCGATGCCTTTGCCCCCTACACCTTCGGTTTTTTAATGGATTCGTTTTTTTTTCTATTCATTACTCAAATTATAGATCATATTACGCTGATTTTTTAGACTACCCATAGAAGTTTAGTCCCATGGGATTCAATGCTTTCCGATGATCAATTTAAACAGTAACATATATTATGATGTTTTTATCTTATTTTCTTATGGGATGTGTTTTTTATTTGATACCATTGTTAAAGAGAAAAAAAGTGATTCCTAACTGATATATAAGGGAAAGATATCCCTTTATCGTCGCTTTACTCCCTTAGGATATCATCTTTACCCTTTTTCACCTTTTTACTGTTAACCGTTTCGTTTACTAAATAGTTGGGTGTATAGTAGTTTGTGATACTGTCTTTTCACTTCGGATGCGCAGACCATTTACATCTTTCGTCGTTGCTCTTATTTGACCCTTTAGCTGTTTCCTATACATACGCGTTATAGAATGAACCGATTAAGCGATCATAAAGCAGTCGTCGAGGCATTCTTCCAGGTGCGTCTGGAAGAAATTCAGGCCAGTGAGCTCGTCACGGTATTGGGGACTAAGAAAGCCACCAGACCCAAACTGCTTATTCTTTCCCGTCCACTTGCCGCATCCGGCAACTTGGCTGGTCATGCCTGGATCTTGAATCTCGTTAAAATGGAAAAGGACAATCGTCCCAAAATCAAACAGGCCTTTGCCGCGGACCGTCTCATGGATATCACGCACAACGGCAGCTTTGATGCAACCTTTAATTTCGGGGCAAGTGGGATGCTCTCAGTAAGCTTTGGGTCGAAAATCCAACGGGATATGTTTTTAGCTTCTCTGAAACGATTTAATGAAATGAAAAGTCGAACATCACATAGTATTTCTCAAATGGATGGACAGAAAGACGTGGATTTTATTCATGGTGTGTTATCGCCAGCTTTCGGGAGTGAAGTGGATACAGATGCAGGGTCTCGGGTACGCAAGCCGTACCAAGAGAAACGACGGGTATTTTCTACTGAAGAAGAACAACACTTATTAAAAATTTTGCATGAAGGTGACTTCGATGACATTAAGGGCTTTCAAGAGAAACTGTTCAGCTCTCAAAAGAGAGCGGAGCTTGCGGCGTTGAACCAGTTGGTGACCTCTGTGGCATCATGGGATGATATGCGAAATAAAGTCATGAATCTTATCCACGATGTAGAAAGTCTGGAAGGCTGCATTGAGCAGTTTTCCTCAAACTTGCTTTGCAAAAAAGCAGTGATTCAGGAAATCGAGCACGCCAACAACGCGCTTCGCTGTAGACAACAAAATCTTAGACAACTGCATGTGATTGTGACCGAGTTGCGGGACCAACTGAGCCTTAAGCCTACGGCACAGGCCTTGCTAAAGCGTTTTCAAAGTGAACCGGACTCGAATCTCATTAATTTTTTTGCGGAAGATGGCAATGCCGAGACCTTAAGCGATGCCATGAAACACATGCAGCGAATTTTACAGAACCCCCAGTTGGATTCCGACTACCCCATCGCGGCCGTCAGCGAGCGTAAAGCATTTTTCATCGAACAAAGGCTCATGGTTGCTCAACGCTCTCGCGTCTACATATTTTCCATCATTGATGCTTACAAAAAGCAATATTTATCTGATCGAATGCGCTTTAGCGGCGAAGATCGTCTTGTATGGCGCTTACACACTGAGCTTACCCTAAAACTCTTTAGAATAAATGACATTATTCAATCCCTTTCGCGCATTGACATGGAAGGCTTTGCAAGTACGCTGCGTAAGTACCGTACTGGGATGCAAGAGGTGTATCATGTAGAAATTCATCAATACTTCAAGGGACTACGCAAACAAATCAAGAAGGCCAATTCATCATCGGGCCTCTTTCTTTTGGGATCCTCTGAGAAGAAAACAGAGGGTATCTCAATTAGTATGGAACTCAACCAGACTAGTGGAGCCCCGCCTATGTGGCGAGGTACACCCCTGGCATCCCCTGCCCTTACGCCTAGAAGGTCAAGCTGGGACGACAGCGCTAACGGTAGTATTCAATCCTCATTTGAAACCAGGAATGATGAGCGGGATCACACCCTTTACATCGAGTTTCCTTCTTCAACTATTCTCAACGGCATAGTTCTATACCCCAACTGTACTATTCACAGGAGCACTGACTCTAAAACAAAACTGTCGTGTGTAATTCATTGCCCGTATAAACTTGTCCGGCCAAATCTGGCCTTTGCGATTGCTTTGGAGTCAACCATAGCGTGCATTTTGTACGAGGAATCTATTATAAATAACTGCTTCGGCATTACCGAGGCAAGCCCCTCTACGTGTGGCACCGCTGTCTCCGTCGAAGTGGAGTCCACTAAGACACCGATTATTCATAGCACTTCAAGCAGCTTTTCGGCCTTTGAAAGCAATGTGCAAATCTTTGATAAGGCCGCTAAAGACGAAACAAGCGCATCAGGGAAGCAACAGGAAGATGCTGATCTATTTATTGAGTCCCTTGTAGAGGTGTTCGGAACTGACATCACGCGAATTCCGATGGAACCCCTAACATCACCGAGGGGGGATGCACTTTTGACGTCCGATTTGAAGAGGTCGTCCGTGAGGTCGGACTTGGGTCTTCCACCGCGCCACCCGGGCTCATCAAACCTAAGCTCCTTGAATGATTCCCTTAGTCATCGCGGCCTCACCAGGGAAACCGATAGTATCACTTTCCAAGCCAGTCATACGAGCATTACCACCAATCACGTCTGGACTCCTCAGCTCATCCGAAAAATTCACAGTTGTTTTCTCGCGACGGAGCTTATCAATTTCGCCCGGTTCCTTGCGGATAAGTGTGACCGAATGTACGCCATTGCCGCCCTTTGCGCAATCCAGGCCTACCTTCGCCATCCCAGTAAGCTGATGGGAAGGAGCACCTTTTGCCAATGCGTGCTGCGCGATCTCGAGAAGATCATGAAGGGCACGGTCATGCGTTTAGTGGCGGAGCAAACGGAATCCATCACTGGGTGCCGCCGGCGCTATATGATCCGACCCACGGCGCTCCTTCATTGCTTTTCGAAGATGCCGACTTTTATTCTGCGAATGGAGGACCTACACAACAGCCTTTCGGACGAAGGGCGTGATCGTACGCAGTACGCCTCGATCGTGACGAGCCTGGTTGATCAGTCGTTCGAAGCGCTGGATGCGGTGACCGCGCTGAAATCGACGGGCAGCACCGCAAGCCAGGACTCCAAACTAAACCTCCTAGAACTGCTCGAGAAGAAGGTTCACAGCGTGATGGACCGCTTAAACAGCGATGAGAATAAAACCTTAAAACGTAATTTCATTCAACAATATCGACATCACGCCTTCTTTTGCGCTTTTTATGTGGCGCTCCCATCGGGTAGTTATGCTGCGGAGCTGTTGCGGGAATACTACAAGTCTTCAAAGGCTAAGCGGAGCTTCTACATGGACCTTTACCTGACGCGTGTGCTTCTTGTGAAGGACTTCCCCAATTTTGGAGTGTTTATTCTTTCCGCTGAAGACCTTTCAAATGCTTACTCAGAGGATGAGCTTCGACATCACCGAACGCTAACCGTGGAAGCGGTGAAAAAAGTGTTCGATAAGCTTGATAAGGAATTCTGCACTGGTGTCAAGTCGAGTGCAACGAGAATGAAAAAACACTTTTTGCGCGAGGTCGTCTCCGGTAGTAATGAGGAATCATTTCACCGTACACTGTTGCAGCGCACGTGGCAAAAATTTTCAATGCTAATTCTACGAAAGTACGACTTTCTCATGAATTTACTTGAAAAGCATAATTATACTGGCCTTACGGCACCAATCACCCGCGATGAGGTGATTAAACTACTGTCTTCTTTTTAGTTTACGATACATTGTGTTCAGTATTTGATTTATTTCATCATAATTTTCCTTGTGTTTCCTTTTAGTTTTTATACATTTTACACTATTGCGATTGCCTTATTTTTTGTTGTTGGAATTTCGTGAAAAAAGATGTCGGGTTCACCCTAAGTGAATGTGATCTCTTGCCCTAAAGTGACCCTGATTATAATTTAGAATAATGCATTATAGGTGTTATTTTATTTCCGAGATTCTCTAGACCATCGACAACAGCTAAAAGTATTTCTAAATGAGGAGACACTGTGGGATGTCTTTTATTGTTTTATTTAGTTTAGTTGCTTTAAACACAAAAGTAAAATGAGAATATCAGGTTGTATAGAGGGGTATGTCATCACTATCTTGGATGTTTTCTTATCACACCTGCATAGATATTTGTCATAACAGATTAGCACAATTGTTCTGGTTTTTATTTCTGTTCACTTTAAACAAATATTAGCAATTAGTGATCAGTTGCATCTTATTGGTGAAATAACATACACATTTACCTATGCACTAAAACACAAAATGAATGGGCTTTCTTTGAGTACTTCCTATTCTCTGTACTGCTGTTCATGGTGTTTACCTTTCCTCTGTGTTTCCCTTCTCTGTGCACCGTGTTTTAACCAACAACAACTAAAAAGGGAGCTGACTTTTACGAGGGAAAAGAAAAGTGGTGTCTGCCGTCGATCATAGAAGGAGGAAGGAAACGGTGTGTTTGTCCAAATGATGAAATTAAGTAGCCCTCGATACCAGGGGGTCGACGACATACCTGAA